GAATGTATGTTCTTCTTCCAAAGCCTTAATTATCTTAAGTATTATTAATTATTTTCAATTAATTAATTATATTAATTATAATATGCTAAGTTTGTATATTAAACTGAAATAGTTTCAAACAACATTCTTCGTTTTGTCTTAAAGGGGTCATATCCAGTATTGTTATTATTTTTCTTTTTCTTTATGAAGTCTTTTTGCTGAATGCTTGCTAATTACTTCTGAACTTTGTTGCCCCCTGCTGTCTGTGTTTGTTAAATCCTCTTGTGTTTAGATCTACATGCTACAGCGTTTACCAAAAAATTCAATTCCTCTAGGTATATTTTCTGTTTTCTCAGATGCCCCATCTGCAGTGATATCAAAATGATCAATGACCATTTGTACTTGCTTGAACAAAGCTGTTAATTTGTTATCCACATTAATGACAATGTCATGTAAAGCTGTGACTTTACTTGTCTGATATTGTATTCTCAAGAAGAAAATATCCATCATATTTTGGCAATTTAACCTTAGTCTTGAGAGCTGAACATTGGCAATTGCCTCCAGTCCCCAAATATCTCTCCTCAAAGCAATAACTAGTCTCAAACTTCTATAGAAATGCCAGAGCCTAAAAACAATAAAATACTAATCTTTAGACAGATTACCCATGAGGCCTGTCCATGGCCTAGCTCTAATAAGCACTGAATTCACTTGACTTCACGGCCCTGAGGTGCATGCTATTAGAGATCATTTTTCCAGCTGGCCTGTAATTTCAACTTTGAGATGAGATTTGCATTTTTAATAAGAGGTAAGAGGCCATGAGAGGTTATGAAATAACTGAGTGATTTAGTATAGAATGAGAAGAGGTCCAAGCACAGATCCCAGTGGAACACCAGAGGATTGTTGGTGTGCAGATTAATTGGATGTTTTCTATCGTACCTGACAGGCTTAGTAATGCAGGAGGAATATGAATTTAAGAGCTCTGCACTTTAGATGCTTATCTCACAGAATAGCATGGTTTATGGTTTCAATTATTAAAGAATTATATTATAGAATAGAAGTACAATCTTTGTGATATTTGGGAAATGTGTCCTTTAATGGTTTCTTCCTAAGGATGTAATGCATTGTGGTAGAATCTGCTACTGCTGGAAAATAGATAGTCATCTCAATCTTAAAATAGCTAATTTATCAGAATTAGAGAAATCAGAAATTATGGGTAAAGATGTGAAAAGATTAAGAAAAAACAAGTGAAAGATTAAGAAAAGACATTGTGGAGTTAAAGGCTTGATAGAAGTTCTTAGATCTTGCATCATGTCTAAAACAATTCACAAGCTAAGGACAGACAATAACATAAGCAGAGAATTACTGAAAAAAATATTTTACTTCCTTGTCCAGGAGCTAAGCTGACATCTATATCTGGTTACATGAAACCTGTCATACAGCATTACTGTTATGCTTTAGGAAGAATGTATTTGCAGTAAAAGGTGTAACCGAGGTATATAAAGAAACATGTTCCTATGCATGACCAGACCAGCTTCCATCATGAAGACGCTAGTGTGTGCTCTTATTGTGCTGCTTCTCTGCAGTGCCTCAGGTAAGATGAAAGCTTTCTCTCTCTCTCTCTCTCTCTCTCTCTCTCTCTCTCTCTTTCCTTTTCTCAAAAATAGTATGGTTTTAATTTTAGGTTTTGTTAACAATAATAACCTTGGTAACAGTTTCATATTTATTACCCCTCGGTAGGTGAAGGAAAATGTTGTTTCTTCATTAGAGGTCTGTTTTCTACAAGTTTAGATAGGATATTGAGCTGTTTTCTTGTTATGCTCTAAACCGTAGCCACTGTGTTCAGCCGGACATGTGAGGAGTTCTGTGTTCCGGGAGTGAACATCCACTGCTGCACTTCTGATCTGTGTGACTGATCTCTCAACGTCACCAGTCCTGCTGATTGACTGTCCTTGAGTCAGGCACTCATGTTCATTGTAATAGCGTAGCAGGAAAAAATATCACTGGGTTACTCTAGGTGTATAATTTTTCTAATGACTTTTTTCCATCTGACTCAACATGGTTTGCTTTACATAACACTACTTAATAAAGGAATGTCTAATAAGCGTGGTTTCTGTCCCAGATCGGCATGATTTGATTTATGAATTGAATAAAATCTACTCAGTAAAATGCTGTGTATGTGTGTGTTCAGTATCAAAGGAATGTAGGTCATTCAGATGTTATGATGCCATACGTGTCTGGATTAACTGCTGCTTTTAACAGATGAGAAGCCAAACATGCAGTCCAGGCATTAATATCTCTCATGAAAGGCAAGAAAAAAAAATGCATATCAAATGTTGATTAAAGGTGCTTTAAAACATAATTACTTGCTTGTTCCAAACAAGCTTAACTCCATTAGCTTCGATGAGATGCTCTGTACACTTTATCAACCATTCACAAGTTTTAGTCAACAAGTTTATCGTTCAGTCCGGGCATTATGAAAAAAGTAACTTTAAATTTTGCACAGATAAATGTTCATTATAATATGCATAATAATACTAATTATAATTTTTGAAATGAACATTGCAGTCTTCTATATAAATGCATATATATATATATATATACAATATTTTAAAAATACCTTCCCTGTACACAAAAAATTTGGGCTCCTAATAATCTTAATTCAAACAAGGAAATATGGGTCAGGCATGAATGAATCCTCCTGTCTTTATTTCCATTTCCATGACTGCAGGGTTTGTTATTAAAGAGATTGAGGATTTTCTTCCTTAAAAAATAACCTGTGCACCTTCTTTCACACAGCGACCGGGACAGCAATTTATCTTGTCATGTTCTCTAATGGACAGCAAAAGATTAAGAGCCAGAGGCTTCAGTGTTTTAAATTGACATGGCATTTTTGTCAATTTACAAGTTCCAAGAAATGAGCAAGTGAATGAGCAGTCGTTTCTGAGAATCTGAGCTCTTTCGCTGATTAAGGGAGAGTGAGATTTCCAAGATTTGTCAAGAAAGAGAAAGAAAAGGGGGGAACAGGACACATAACAGTGATGGATTGAACTTTAACTGAACTGAAACTGTAGAAAAAGGCCTTGTCATCTTGGAGTGGCCACGATCAAAGTGAATTCCAGTTTCCAACCCATTTTAGTTCTGCAATTTGAGTGAAACTTCATACCTAATGAGGAAAAAATGTTGGGTGGGGCTTAATTGTATCTATTTCAAGCTGATTGGACAGTGAAATGTGGGTATCACCCACCAAAAAAAAAAATGTTAAAATTATACCTAAATACCTATTTAGCAATAAATGTTGTCAGCAAAAACGGAAAGCCATTTAAGAGGAAGACACATTTTATTCATATTATAAAGATTTCAATATATATATATACATATATATATATATATATATATATATATGATATACCATTTATGGAAAAGCATAGATAGACAGACAGACAGACAGACAGACAGACAGACAGACAGATAGATAGTAAAGAATAGGCTTCATTGTGATTTTTGGTTGACTTTAAAATGGAATCTTCTACTTGAATTACCTTAAAATATGCATTTGTAAATATACAGAACTTATCTTTAAATTTACGAGAGTACATTAATAATTTGAGTGCATTAGTCATGCTAGTGCCAGACCAGCCATCACCTCAAACTGCCCTTTTCACTGCAACATAAAGGAAACGAACAGATTGCATAATTGGGCAAACTTCCAAAAATCAAAACAAGCAGATTATCGCTGAAGCAAATCAAATGTCTGATGACCTTCACATTCATCTGCGTGCACAGTCAGAGAGAAACCATGAACACCTTGATTTCATATTGGCCCATTTTCTGCACCAGCTTAGACATTCTTGAACCAGATTCACCTCCTGTTCTGAGGTCTGAAACGCTATGTTGTGCACCACAATCCCCTGGACCTATTTTTAAGACAATTCCAGATATAAGCGACTTAAGGACTGTTGACAAGACATCACATGCACTTTGGCTAAGAAACACTCACTGTGCTAGCAGGTAGTGTCATATGCCAAGGCAGCGCATCCTCAGCTGGGCAGATTTCCTCTAGCTGAGAATGGAAGAAAAAAGCTTTTCACAAATGAATACAGTTCTTATTACAAAATGTCAATCCACACTCCTTGAAGTTATAGAATGTAAAAAGTGAAACTGCACTTAAGGGGAAATTTCTGTGTGACCTGAGCTTTACAGTTATCTTGATGGTGTAACCTTATGTAGTGAGGATGATTCGGTCATATTAAATACAATTTTTGAGCTAGGTTAGTTCAGTTGGTTCCACATGAAGTATATTTTTAGGTTACCTAATGTGTTTTACAGTGCAGTCAAGCTTTTTGAAGGTACTTGAATGATGAATTCTCCTAAGGGCTGTGCTTTAATGTCACCTTCATTTCCCTTTCCTTGTGGATGGAGTCAGAACACGGTGCTTGGTTAATAAAATATTTCTCACTACCATATTGAAGCATATTTCTATGTCACCAGGTGTGCAGGTGTTCAGTTCCTATATAACTTGTTTGTTTTCAGTCTACAATTAATGAAATTAAAGTTACTTTTTAGAGAAATTATGGCTAAATAAAATATTTTTACAAAATATTCTATACTAAAAATACTATATATATATACTGTAAATATATATAAATAAAAGTTTATTTTTACTTTAGTTTTAGTTGTCTGGAGTATAAGTGCAGCATCCAAAAACAATGTTATGAAATTACTGTTTTAAATGTAAAAAAAAAAAAAACTTTTACATGCCTATGTACCACATTTTTAAATTGCACCAATGACTGGCGTTTACAGTAAATTACACAAACGGCTGTTGTACAACTTTGTCATAGTGCAAACAAAAGCTCTCAACCCAGTTCTCTAGTAAGTAAACAACATCAGCATTAACGAGCACAGCAGTAGATTGAGGGGCTGTCTGGAGTGGTAATGGTCCTCCACATCTATTGGATTAGAGGAAGGATGTCATTCAGTATTAATCTGTGGAGCAGTAGGCAGCCTGGAACACTAAGCACTCTGATCTCTGTCTGCCTCTGACTCGTCCTATTGTTCATCCTGTGCTGTGGGCACTGGAAAGAAACCATCCTTTCCAGAATGAATCTCTTCTGCTTCTCTCTGGTAAGATGTGATTCACATTTTCTACTCTGTGGTTTGTAGATTGTAGAACGTGACCTACTGGAGGATGTGAAGGCAACATGTGATAGTGCATGAAGATCAGGAACCATGCTTTAGCTGCTCAACAAGGGCCTTTTGTTATGCTTTCTGTTAGTTAAGAAGTCAAGTCACTATGTTTACTATGGCTAACATTTGTAGCCCTTGCATTAAAGATATATAATTTTTTATCTTAGCTTCACAATATTTAAATAGGCCATGAACTAAGAAATCAAAACTTCCTTAATCTTTTGACATATAAGAGGTCATTGTACTATAAAAAACACCCTGTATGTTTCAGAACTCAAAACTTTCTTGTTAGTCTAAAAATAGCTTATATTAAAGCCAATCTGCCAAAAGGACAGGTTGTGAAATGTGCCACTTTATGACGTAATAGTGTGGCTAAGGACCACCTCCACAGAAGAAGATCAAGCCTGCTCCTACATAACTGCCTGTTTAGCCCCGCCCACTGATTCACAAATGTAGTAACAAAGACTATAGAATACCCTTAAAGGGACTTTGGTAGTAGGTAAATAACGAGAGAGGCAAACGCAGGTCTACACAGAAATCAAACGATAAAGAAGTTCCAGACCACGTCAGTAAGAACTTGGTCCTTTGTTCACTTCATTTTACCACGGATTCGTTTACAAACAAGGCACAATTAGACGCAGGATTTTCAGAAAGATTGAAACTAAAGACGATGCTGTGCCGACTATATCGAATCCGACAGTAATCTTGGACCACACAAGTGTGAGTAACTGTTTTTATTATATGGTCACTATTACTTTGTCTGTTATTACAGGTCATTTGATATGTACTGAGTATTTATGCTTTTTTTAGCCTAAATCACAGCAGTGTCCATCTATGAAGGATGTAGGCTGTCAAACATACACAACTGTTAGCCAATCATAGCAGTGGGCGTTTACTTCCGAGTCTACAATCCACCACGCCTATTCAAACAGAGCGTTCCGATGAGGGGGGTCAAAACAGGACAGAAAATAGCCTATTACTTCTAAATTATGATGCTTTTTATGTAAAAATGCTGATAACATTATAAGTGGACCTCAGAGAACAGTATAAAATAATAAAAAAATAAAGAAGGCAGTTCATGACCACTTTAAATTAAATTAATTTCTTATTTTATTTTATTAAAACAAAACACATCGATGAAATGTGTAGATTTAACTGAGTTTCTCTGCCAGATGTTGTGTAGTTTTGTGCAATTTATAATTAATGGTGGTCTCGCTTCACTGAATTCACGCTGGTCTGATCTTCTGTAAGCAAACTAATGCTTCTGGTTATTTGCGTCATCTTTTGCACAGATGAATTTGCACTCAAATGCACTATAAACACTGTAATAAATCAGGGTCTTAAACGGGGATCCCCTAGGGGATCGGTGGTTGTACTGCATTAATCTCAAAATAATTTCTGTTAAAAAAATAATTTGCTTTATATAAATATACAATATGAACTTAGTTTCAACCAAAGCTAAAGCTTAAATTCAGCTAAATGTTTTACTGTACCATCCATGATAAATTTGATAGTAAAATTAAAATGCACTTGCGTATGACTGTATATAAACAATGATAATTTTAATGTGAACATCATAACAAAATATGCAAATTGCTAATTAACATATTACTTATAATACTTACATTAATATAATACTATATGCTGTATATAATATAGGCCAGGCTTAAAATGCAACAATTTTATGCAAGGCATTTTATAACCAGGGTTATTTTTGAGTTGAGATGCTATTTCAGTTTGTATTAATATTTAAAATGTTCTCATTTTATATTTTCTGTTTTCAATTTAATTTTAAAGTTTTAATAATTTTGTTGTGTTTTTGTCATTTTTATTAGTTTTTTTATATGTCTTAAACTTTTTATTTGAGTTTTAGTTTTAGTTATTTTAGTACATTAAGATAAACTAAATAAAAATGAGAAATGTCGCCTTGACAGCTAGCGGAAACAAAATAAGTTTAAGTGATCTTATATTTTCTGTTTTCATTTCAATTTTAAAGTTGTAGCAATTTTTTTTTTTTCATTTTTATTAGTTTTTATTAGATTAGGTGCTTTTAGTTTTTTATTTAAAGTGTATTTTATTTCTAACATAAATCCATTTATGATTTTAGTTTTAGTTAACTATAACAACCCTGTTTATAACAAGGTCCGACTCTCTATCCACCAAGGGATTGAAGACCCTTGTAATAAGTGCATTTTATTAGCAGCACAGGTTGTGACCGACATGATGTTGTTTTGTAGGAGGGCTCTACGGACAGCCTGTATGAGGCCGTGCAGGAGTCCTGTGAGGCTCAGGTGTACACCATCCCGAGCAGGTCCTGCAGCCCAGCTGTTCTCTCAGATGACGCCACCAAATGGAGAAGTGCGGGGCGTTCCATCTCCATGGTAACTATAGAAATGACTGCTTGAATGTTGAATGCATATACTGCACTGTCATGGGAAATGTATCGGCCATCTGGACGCACGTTATAACACTGCTGTGGACATGATGAGTTTCTATTAAATGAACGCTGCTGCTAATAGAATATGCTGTAACCATATGGAAATATATTAAGGTCTATTTGAGGCCTGTCTATGAGACAGAAACCTGAAATGATAGGCTTGCGAAATCTTGAGAACATGCCAGGCATGCATATAATTTCACATTCATATTTCAAATAATTATATACAATAATGTATGACTTTGCATGTTAAAATTTCTAGATAAAAATGATACAACTGCCACATACTGTATTCATTTACAGGAAATTTCACAAACCAACTCAGACAACACAAGAAAAAAGAAACAAAGGTGAGTTCAGTCTTTGTTTTTAGTGAACAAAGGAAAAAATGTTGAACTTCCAGTCTAAGCAAAAGTGAAAGAGCCCTTTAGGCTTTCATACTGACAGATAATACAAAATGACTCTCTGTGAATATTTGTACTTTCTTTAAATGTCTTCTTGCGTCTTCTTTCAGTTCACTACCAAAATCTGTTTCTGAAAATGAAGCTTTAGGTATGTGATATTTTGAGAGATATTTTATACATTTTCCTAAACTTCTTCCTTCTGCATCACATGACTAAGCTGCAAGAGTACACCCTTGTTATGCTTTAATGCTCATAAAGCAACTAGCTTGACTGACAGTCAACCATCAAATGGATAATGAAAAAGAAAGGTCCGTACAGTGTTTATCAGATCATTATGAGCATGAATGAAAGGACAAACCAGATTTTCTACATTTTCTTGCCTTTAAACGAGACTTCACAGAGTGAAAAAATAAAAGCATGGAACATTAGTGGACCTTAAATGAACAACGCCCTAATGGTTTTGATTTCCCTCCTGCAGATAATACCGTCTGCACTAATTCTGCCTGGCCTGTTGCCAAAATGCAGGAAGATTTAGTCCTCCTGAGGAACAATCAGAATGAAGGTAAAACCGGTCTGAGGATTTGTAGGTTAAGCCCAACTAGATTTCATTTACAAGACACACAACTAAGCAACATCCACTTACTATTGGCCAATCAGACTGTCTATAAGATTCTGATTGCGTGAAATCCCATTGACAGTGAATGGAGAGCGTTGTGCAGTCGTCAGCTCACTTAAAGCACTTGCTAGTCCTGTGTGGGATTAATTAAGAAACAGCAGGGTCTTAATTGTAAATAGGGCACTAGACTTCAGCCTCTTAGAACTGTGGAGGACTTTCAATGACAATGTAATGGGGTAGCTGTCATGGACTTTTTAAATCAACATTCAGAATGTTAGGTTAAAATGTATCGGGGTGAAGTGAATATTTTAGGTCTTATAATTGGTCACAATTTTTTTCTCGCCAGTTTTAAACATCTGTTTACCTTTTAAATGGCCCTGTGGTGTGATACAGATATTTTTAAAAACACAAATAGTCCATGTAATCTCTCAATTATTATTATTTTAGGTTTATATAAGATGCTTAATAATTATAAAAGAATTGCTCAATGGTTTCAGATGGCTTAGCATGTCACACCACAGGACATGTCAATTTTAAAGTCAACTACTCATTTGTTACATACATTCTAACAAAGCCATCTGATTTTTTTTTTTTTTTTGTAATGTAACAAACTAACTAATATTAAATGTAGTTTATCTTAGTGCTTTTTGATAAGAATATTCAAATGATGTTCAAATATTTTAATCACTATTATTTTTAATAGATAATAAAAAGATTACTCTAATCTGAATTTCAAATGGTGGTGCACATTCATTTTAAGGTAATAATGTTGTTGAACCTGTCTGTATAGATCAGGGATGGGCAACTTTGATAGTGACGAGGGCCAGCATTTGTTCTCCTTAATACCAAGGGGCCAGATTACTAATCCACGTCCACACACCTTTTACACCGTTTTACTCAATTTCCTTTTTATTGAAGGAAATTAAAGTATAACTAATGTCATTTGTTTTTTAAGATTTTATTAAGTATAAAACTTGTGCAGTTATGCTAATTCAGAAGGAAAACTTTGTTGTCAGTGGACAGAAATATT